CTTAAACAGTCCTTTGCAGCTGCTGGCCCCGAATGCTAAATCGGGGGGGGGGGGTAGCTTCTATATACTCTATACTCTAAGACACGACACGCCCAGCCCGCAAACTCTTGACTAAGGTTTAGAGTGTAGCATGCCGACTTCAAGTCGGCTTTACCTAAAGCCCTAAAAGTAGGTAGAATAATAGCCCTTTAGAGGTTTTGGGCCATTATTTTACCTACTTTTGGGGGTTTAGGTAGGGGTTTAGGGCTCCGGGGGCCCAACTCAATCCGGGTTTGGGGATGAGGGTGCCTAATTCAATAGAGTTCAGGGTTTAGAGTAGCAGTGGCTAGCTAAATCAAGCTCCAGAGTACCATTTATGCATGGTCGGGGCTTCGAATCCTCGGCTGAGGGCTTAGGGTTTAGGGTTGAGGGCCTTGCTGCATAAAAATCTGGAACAAAAGTAGATCGGTGTGTAGCGTGATTGATATGTCTGTGCTGAACTGCTGAGGCGATTTGCGAGAAGACCCTAAAGTGTACGCTCTTGGCTCCAATAATCATCAAGCCCAAAGCCCTAAACTTACCAGAAGCTAGTACCCCTCCTGTGTCGAGGTTCATGGTCCTTCTTGCTGAAGCTGTGCTGAGGGCTTGAATGTCCAATTAGGCTTTTCGGGCTGATGGGTTGCAGAGAGTCAAGCTTTCAGGCTGCAGGCCATGAAGCCATTGCCACTATGTGTCCTTCGGCATGTTCCTTGTGAAGGCCGCGCACCATGCAATGTTCTATGCATCTTCCGCTGCATCCAAGACACCTGAATGTTGAAGCAGATGTTGATGGTCTCCTGTAGTCTCCGACGCAAAGCACCGGCACGGTAAGCGGCGAAGAATGCGCCGGTAGCACACGGCAAAACCAGTTCCACTGCTGATTCATCCACTTCCTGGGCTCTTGCAAAGGAGCATCGTTTACGGTGGCATCATAAGGGAACCGAATGAATGTCGTTAGTATGTGGCTATAGTTATAATAAATCTGTATTACATTCCTTAACACCTATAAAAACGACATACAAACCTTTGATACAACCCCTGTCAAATGCCACAATAAAACCGCGAAAGACTCCCGAGCAAACCCCATAAACCAACTTACAGACACTCTGAAACCCCCGCTCCTAAACCCAAAGCCCTAAATCCTAAACCCTACTAAACTACACCCTAAACCCCACTAAACTACACCCTAAACCCCACTAAACTACACTGTCAAACCTCCCTCCACAGGCCCGGCTACATCACCAGCCATCCTCGCGAGCGTTCGTTTGACTGCCTGGATGGCCTTGCTTGGCGCTTATGGTTTAGGGGTTTAGGGCTTAGGGTTCAGGGTTTAGGGTTTGGGGTTTAGGGTTTAGGGTCTAGGGTTTAGGGCTGACTAAGTTCAGCAACACCCCCCAGACCCCAAACCCACTCGCAGAGATTCGAGTAGCTTTGAGGTGTTCGGGCTCTCAGGGACCTGATCCGAGTTGCAACGGATTTTTGGCGGAGGTGTTGCAACCTTTTTTAACTATGGAAGCCGAAACCTGCAGCCCGGCTGCTTGGGCATTCTGACTGAAAGAGCTGGCATCGGGAACACTCACCGTGAGGGCCCCCACAGCGAAGTAGACCCCAAGCCCGCCAGATATGCCCAGTCCTGTAGGGATGACCGAGGGTTCTTAGCACCTTCATGTTATCAGGGCTCTTCCACAGGCAAATTTGCACCGTGCCGTTTAGGATTCGTTTAAGGATGAAGGTTTGGGGTGTTCTGTTCCGTTTACCCATTTGCACGAGCTGTAACGAAGGATAACTTGCTTTGGGTCTAGCGCTCAAGCCTAAACTCCATCTCTCAAGACGCTTTAAGCCCACACTTCCTCCTCTCCAGAGCCATGTAAACCCAAGTCGTAGCCAGTACCCCTAAACCCTAGACCCCAGACCCTACACCCTGAGTCTGGGCCCTGTGATTTGGGTGGTTTGGCCGCCTTAGACGGCGTGGGAGAGAAATTAGGGTTTAGGGTTTAGGGGTTTAGGGCAAAAGCCTTCTATAGACATGCTTTCACAGGTCCTCGCCGCTGTACGATGCACCCGACACAACCTTGTCACAACATACAATCGCCTACGCGCTGTTCCACGGCAAACCCTCAACCCTGAAACCCCGACCCTCAACCCTAAACCCTTTATAATTGCAATCATCCCTAAACCCTGAACCTCTAAACCCTAAACTCACAACCCGAAACCCTGAACTATCACGCCCCTGCAAAGCACCATGACTGCAGACCCTATAGTCCTTACCTGGGGATCCAAAGAATCTATTGTTTTCGTGGTTAGACCCTCTGATTAAGGTCTCATGACATACTATTTTGTAGGGTTTGGGGATACCCTGAACCCTAACCAAAACCACAAGCTAAACCCCCAAAAGAGCCAAAGTGGGCCCAAAGGCCCAGCCCAGTCCTACCCCCAATGAGACTGCCAGAGCTGTTCCCAGAACAGTGCCCACAGCTGCCCCGAGTGCCACGTCGGTCCGTGGAGGCATGCGCACGATGACCTTAGTTAGGAGTTAGGGTTTAGGGTTTATAGGTTTTAAGTTTTGTAGGGTCTAGGGTTTATAGCGTTTAGCGTTTGTAGGGTTTAGGGTTTAGGATTAGGGTTTTTGGTTGGCTTTGGAGATATTACAGGCCTTATGGCTTAAGGGTTGGTGCTGCCAATGTTCGAGTGTTGGAAGGTCAAGCAAGGCTTGCAAACCTGGAGATGCACGGGCAAGGACTCAACAACAAATGTTTCTTGCACTATGAAGCCACCGTGGTCGTGGTTGATGTGGTTGAAGTTGTGGTGGTTGAAGTTGTGGTGGTTGAAGTTGTGGTGGTGGATGTCGAGGTTGTGGATGTCGAGGATGTGGATGTGGAGGATGTGGATGTCGAGGTGCTGCTAGACGACGAGGTGGATGTGGATGAGGTGCTGCTAGACGACGAGGTGGATGTGGATGTCGAGGTGCTGCTAGACGAGGTGCTCGTCGAAGTCGTCGAACTGACACCCGGAAGCTCTACTATTGCATCAAGGTCGGCTTCTAGCGGGTCAGGGGCTGAAGCCGGCATGGCATCGTCCGGTGACCTCTCGAAGTAAACCTCATCTCGCTCCTGCAGGGAGGGCTGCTGCACTTTACGCTAGAGCAGGAACCTGCACATCGAAGCAGAGTGGACTACAGGGCACAGCTCTTCTAGGCTGTTACTGAGTACAAGTTTCGCATTCTCACCACTTGAAATGCCCTAAACCCTAAACTCTAAACCCTAAATCCCCTAAACTCTAAACCCACTCTTCGGAAACCGTTGTGCGAATCTCCAGCTCTCTAAGGTCGCTGGCGCTTGCGGTCTCGAGCTCATCTTCGACACAGATTTGATCAGTTGTGCTTTCCGGCCTAATCCTAATGTACGTAATTAGACTAGGGTCTTTTTTTGGGGAAGGTAGTATAATAAGGAGCCCCCCCCCCCCAA